AGTTCTGTTTTCTGTGAACAAACTTGTAATAGAGAAAGACTAAGGTTAGGAAGAAGGGAGGTAGGAGAGGTCAACAGTATGCCCAAATGGATACAATGGAGAAAGGATAGTCTCTTCAACATAACAGTTCTGAAAAACTGGCTATCTGCATGACAAAGAATGAATTCAGGTCCTTAAATTATGCCATATGTACAAAATAACTTAAAATATATGAAATACTTAAACATAAATTGGAAAACTATAAAACTCTTTTCAGAAAACCTAGAGAAATGCTTCATGACATTACATTTGTAAATGGTTTCATGGATATGACCCAAAAGCATAGGATGTAAAAGTAAAAATAGGGACCTCGTCAAAATTAAAACCAAAGACAAAATCAACATTCGTAGGAAGTATTTTCAAACCACATATCTGATAATAGTTACTATCCATAATATATAATGACCACCTACAATTCAACAAAAACCAAAGTAACCCAATTTAAAAATGTGCCAAGGACATAAAAAGGCCATTAAGCATACAAAAAGTTGTTCAAATCCATAATCATTAGGCTAATGTAAATCAAAACCATAAGGATATCTTATTTCATACCTTAGGATGAATATTGTTAAGAAATATCCAAAGATGACAAGTATTATTGAGAATGTGGAGAAATTGGAACTCCTAGCATACTCTTGGGGAAAGTGTGAAATGTTATATCTCTGTGAAAAATATCACAGAGTTTCCTAAAAAAAGTAAATAAAAATAGAACACCATATGATATAGCCATTTTATTTCTAGGTATATATACTTTGGAAAGCAGGTTCTCAAAGAAATAAACCCATCATATTAGTTAAGGCTGTGTAAAGAGACAGCACCAATGTGTGGTGTATTAAGAGAGAAAAAGAGGTGTGAGTGCATTAGGGGAAGTTTTTCATGCATTTGTGGAGGCTAAGAAGCCCCACAGGCCACCTGCAAGCTGGAGATCCTGGAATGCTTGTAGCATGGCTCAGTCCAAGTCTAAAAAACCTCAGAAAAAGGAATCCAATGTTGTAACTATCATCTGAGGCTGAAGACCTGAGAACCTGGGCCCCCAACCCTCAGGGTAAAGTCCTGGAGTTCAAAGGCTGGGGAAGCTGGTATTCTGATGTCTAATTGCAAGAGAAATTGGGGGTTTTAGTTCTAGGAAAGAGAAAAGAATAAACCTTCTCTCTTGTATTTTGTTCTAGCCTGGTTCCCAGCTAATTGGACACAGCTTGCTCAAGAATGAGAGCAGATTTTCTCTACTTGATCCCTTGACTAAAATGCCAATCTACCCCGGAAATACCTTTGCAGACACATTCAGAAATAATGTTATACCAGTTCTCTGTGTTATTCTTAATGCAGCCAGCTCTAAAATTAACTATCAAATCTATATTTATATAACATTATTTATGATAGCCAAAATGGAAGTGACCCATTTTTGATCCATTATTGACAGATGAATGGATTAAATAAAATGTAGAATACACACATTATAGGAGGTATTTGCAATGTGCATAATCAATGAAGGTTAATATGCACAACATAAAATACATCCTGCACTGGGTATAGTGGC